TCACATGGAGGACCTTGCTCAAACCTCTGCTGTCTCAGTGTGCTCACGACTGGGGTCCTTACTCAAATTTCTGTTGTCCATTTCCCACCCAGTGGTTTCCTCAGTTTTCCCTGCCTGGTGGCACTTATACATGTGCCCTCACACAACAGCCCCTGGTCAAGCAGGGTCCTGGATCCACAGGATCCGAATAGTCAAGTTCAACTTCCCACCAACCCACTAGCCTTTGGCTGGTCTGCAGAGTTCACAGAAGCCCGGTGGGTGGGAATCCAAGAGAGCTCAGCCAGTTTCCCCACCTGTGGGCACGCCCTTAGGTGCTCTCCCAGATAATCAGCCCCAGTAAACACAGATAAGATCCTACTGGCCTTTCTTCTGCCAGGTTAGTTCCACAACAGCTTGGTTGATAGCTCCAGGTGATGACTGGATGTGGATGGTGGTGCCCTGAGGTCATAGGGCTGTGGTGGGGGTTGAGGTGCGTGGAAGCAAGGGAGTAGGGGGGTAAGGCACGCAGGCCTTGGACACTACCACCAAGAGGTGGGGGCGAGGCTTGGGCGCTACTGGTCGGGCGTCACACAGGTGTGGGCTGCAGGGGGGTCACACAGTGGCGGGTAGTCTTCACTCCTCTGGGGTTCCGCGGTGGGTGGCTGACTATTGCTCTTCCTGGGTCTCTTCCCGGCCCATCTGGCGGCGGAACTCCATCTTTGGCCTTATGTTTTCTTTAATGTATTTCAGAAATACTTTGTGGTTTTCAAAATAATATCTTCAGTTTCTTTGAGTGAGCTTACTACAGCAAGTATTATGTGGGTATATAAAATAATGCTTTAAGTGAATAAACATAAAAAAATCATTCACCTTCCAGTCAGTTCTTTCAGATTATTTCAGGACATTGGTTGCAGTCTTCCCCTACAGTGTGTGTATTTTGTTTCCTGTGTTTCCCGTTACATGTGTCCCATTTCCTGTCCCTCCCTGTTTTCTCATCTTTAACTTAAGGACTGTTGCCCTTTTGATTTTGTGTCATTTATTGTTCTTAGTAGTATATTCTTCATAGCTTTTTTTAAAGACTCTTCTATTATTTGACTGAAAGATGCCCTTCAAGTTTATCTTCATTTTCAAGTTAAAAAGGCTTTCTCAAGGGCATTAAAATCATAAGAACAGATAAGTTGTCAGATAACTTTAAAAACTTTCTTCCCTGAGGAAAGCAATGTCAAAAGTCACCCAGACATGAAGTAATGTTAAAAGGGGGGAAAATTACTACAGAAAATCTGCCCTTAATTTCTGTGCTTTTATTGTCATTACATTGTATATGTGTATTGTTTAGCTGTTTTTTAACCTCAAGCTAAAGAATTACAGTCAAAATAGATGTGAGAAGATATTCTGAAACTTACTTTAGAATGTCAAGAAGTTAAATGTTGAAATAAGAGAGCTGAACAGAAGATTTCAAAAGGCAGCTTAAGAACATATAGTGTTATGATGAATGTGTGAAGACCTGGAGGGAGGAAACAAACAAAAATTAAGAACATAGTTATTTCTCAATCTAAAGAATTCCGAGGCATTGACAAAATTGACAGAATGCCAGTTGAGTCATTTCAACAAATTGAATTCAACATAACACATGCTCACTCTTCTTTGCTAATCAATTGGAAGACAACTACCTGACCAAATGATTGGTGGGGGTCCACATTTGTGCCCAGATACGTTTGTACCAGTGAGTAAGTGTGTAGAAAGAGCAATTAAACAAAATGTGAACTAGAAAAACAGATCAAATATATGTAAGCATTGAGTATATAAAGATTATATGATACAAATTAGGGTTTGACTCTGGAATTCTTCTGCTTTGTAACTGATTTGTCTCTTTTGGTTTTAGTCCTATTAGAGGGAACTTTGAGAAATGACAAGTTATAGAAAGACTTCAGGTATTTTGTTCAGAGTCATTATGAGTCATGCTCGACTCAGTGGCAATCAGCAACAACTAGAGTATTACTAAATATTTTCTAAATCATTTGAAAATGTATACTGAGCATCAGGAAAGACAGTAACTGCAGAAAAGGATTTGAAGTGCTTATTGAAGAACAGACTACAGCTTTCAGTATACATTATGCCTCAACTTCAAGAAAACAAAGATTCTTACAACTAGATTAGTAAACATGATTAATGGAGGAAAGACCTCTTTGTGTTGCTAAACAACAAGGATTTGATTTTTACACTAAAGTACATCTGATCCATGCTATGTTATTTTCAGTTGTTTCATATACATTTGAAAGTTGGGCAGTGAAAAAGCAAGACCCCAAAATTGATACCTTTGAATTGGGATGTTGGTAGACTATTGACTATCCCATGGACTGCTGAGAGAATAAATCTGTCTTTGAAGAAGCACAGCCAGGGTACTCCTTAGAGAGAAAGATGGTGAAAGCTCATTCACATACTTTGGGCAGTCTTTGGAAAGAACATAATTTTTGGAAAAGTAGTAGGTCCTTGAAAAAGAGGAGGACCCTCAATGAAATACACGGTGACAGTACGCTGGACTTAAGCACAGTGCCGATGAGAGAATGTGGGAGGATGGAGCAGAGCTTTGATCTATTGTTCATCCTGTTGCTGAGTTCAGAATGGACAGGACAGCACATGCAACAACAGAAAGGTCTCTCTAGAAACTGTAATGTTCCAGTCTTATTAATACATGGGAAAGAGCTTTTGTTGAAAAGTTGCGGTTCTCCCTAACGTTTGTATTTTTTTGGTCTTGAGGTTACTTTTTTTAATCAATATGATCTGTATGTTGCTAATCGGTATCTTAAAGGCCCGTTTTATTTAATACCTAGGTTAAGTTGAAATATAAATACAAAGCAAGAATCTTTCTGGAGGAAAGCCTTTCATTTGGAGTTCTAGGGGAGCACGGCCGTGGAGTTACTGAACATTATGGAATCAACGTAAGTTACCCTTTTTCAGAGCATATTCCACATGCAGAACTTGGGGTTCTGGTCTCCTCAGTGTATTTGTGTGAATACAAAACAATTTTGTTACCTATTTAGAGAGGCATGTGGCTTTGATGTCTTAACACCTCACTAAACCCAGGTTTGATCTGGTCAGACAGACCCATGGGCCCCAGCTGTCCTCTAAACTTATAAACCTGAAGTAACTGATTATGAAATTTGTGTTATTTCCAAATGGCTGTATTTAGCCTTGATTTTTAGTGTCTCAGCTCTAGAAAAAATGAAAAATAATTTTGATGACGATTGAATGGGTGTTCTTTATGTTCAGTTTGTAATCCAGTGCTTACCCATTTTCTATCTGGAGATGGAGGGATGGATGGAGAGAATGATAGACTGAATGATTTTTATTTATTTATTTAGAAATTAACACTAGCATGGATTTACCAAAGCCCCTCAGGGTCCCAAACAAATGAAAAGGATTTGTTATGTTTTCCTATGCTGAAAGGAAGTGATGCACAGTCCTGTGTGGTGTATGCTCCTGGGACATCTAAAGGCATCATGGTGTTGGCCATTCCCAGAGCATGTCTTCAACACACTATGATGTGGTAGATCTTCTCCGAAAGATACACATGAAAGTTTTGTTACATATTTTACAAAGTTGAACCATCAAATCTAAAATTATTACAGGTTTTCTGTATCCATTCCCAGTCAGTACTAGAGAAGAGCAGAAAAGTGATGTATCACATGAAGTTATATTTACACAAACTGCTCTGGAGAAGGAAAATGTACCATAACATCACGGGGTCGTGGTACTAGGGATATTGTGGCTGATGTTAGATGGATCTTAGTTGAAAGCAGGGAATACCAGAAGAATGTCTATCTGTGTTTCATTGATTATGTAAAGGGGTTTGACTGTGTGGATCATACCAAACTGTGGCTGACTCTGAGAAGAATGGGAATCCCAGAACATTTGATTGTTCTAATGCGAAACCTATACTTGGACCAAGAGGCAGTCGTCAGAACAGTGCAAGAAAACAGTGCATGGTTCAAAACTGGGAAAGGCGTACGCCAGGGATGTGTCCTATTTCCATATCTTTTCAACCTGTATGCAGAACAGATTATCCGAGAGTCTGGGCTCTTTGAGGAGAAGTGTGGTGTCAGGATTAGTGGAAGATCTATTAATAGTCAGTGTTACACAGATGACACAGCCCTGCTTGCTGAAACTGAGGAGGACCTGAAGCGCTTGCTGCAGAGGGTCAAGTACTGCAGTCTTCAATATGGATTGAGGCTCAATGTCAACAAGACACCAAAGATTCTTACCACTGGACCAATTGGCAGCATCAGGCTGGATGGTGAAGAGATTGAGATTGTTCACAGCTTTAGTTTGCTTGGCTCCACAGTCAACACTCTTGGCACCAGTAGCCAGGAAATTAAAAGGCGCATTGCCATGGGAAAGTCTGCTGTTAGGGACCTTTTCAAAGTTCTGAAGAGCAATGGTGTCCCTCTGGAGACTAAGGTGCATCTGATACAGGCCATGGTCTTTGCAATCACTTGTTGTGCATCAGAGAGTTAGACTATGATTACGGAGCATAGAAGGAGAATTGATGCCTTTCAGGGTGGCTCCTTGGAGGCAAGGATTCTGGGGCTTTGTCTGACATACTTTGGACATGCTGTAAGGAGGGAGAGGTCCCTGGAGAGAGACATCATGCTTGGGAGGGTGGAGGGACGGTGCAGGAGGGGAAGACATTCTATGAGGTGGATTGATTCAGTGACTTGGGTAATCAGGATGGGTATGTCAGAGGCAGTGCGATTGGCACAGGATAGTGTACATAGGGTTGCTATGAGTTGCAAGCAACTTGATGGCACATAACAACAACAACAACAACAAAGTATTTTCAGTTGTCATTAAGATTAAGAGCTTTCTTCATTATTTCTGTGGAACACAAAGACAAGATGTAATCTAGCTAGTCATAATTGTGACTAACATTAGTGTGTATTTGTTAAATGTCTACTATGTACGCAGAACACAAATTGGGATTAGAGGCTAGAATAGAAAATACACATCAAGGTGTATACCTACTCTTAATTGGCATAGTTAGGTTTCAAAGACTAGGGTATTATATGAATATTTGCTGTTTGCAAATATGGAGAGTGACCACATCAGATCATCAAACAATAGCTTCATTATTAATGCCAGATTATACAAAACCACTGATATCCTAGCCTGGCCAAATTAATATACAGTTTTAATAATCAAAGCCACCATGACTTGCCTTACAACATAGTTCATTATTCCTAGGTGTTAGATGCCAAGATCATTGATAAGTAAGGAATAGATAGATTGAGAAATTGAGAAGGTAGGAATTCTGAAGTCCACAAGTAACATAAGATTCATCCTTATGTGTCTACTTGATCACATTGGGCTAAATGGATAATTGAGAAGATGTGTGGATAAATGGATTTCATTTTCTAAATTAAAGGATGGTAAACTGAACAAAGAAATAGATTTTAAAAAGTGTTTGTTTTTGCTGGCGAGGTTGTGGAGAGACTGGAACCTTTTATTCACTGTTGGTGGGAGTGTAAAATGGTGCAACCACTGTGGAAAGCTTTGTGGCGCTTTCTCAAAAAGTTGCAAATA